TTGTATTTTCTATTTTGTTCCCTATTTTTGCTCTTCCTTTCGGGTAAATGCATGGCAAAATTACAGTGTTGACGGCACATTGCAGGTATACACAAATTCTCGTATTTCACCCAAGATTCTAGCGACACAAATAAAGAACAATTCATTTATAATTTACCATTTCGACATGCTGATATAAGTTTGGGATAGTAACATTAGCCTATCCAAATTGCACTGGACGGATATATGTTTTCCATTACATGCACATTAAATGGAAAAACATGTAGAATAAAGGAAGGCAGGAAGAAAGAAGACACAAGATAGAGAAGAACCTATAATCTGTCAGACCAAGCTAAAGGGAAACATGAGGCTGTTGCTTGGGATCATTTCCTACATCGAAAGTGTATCCTCCATACTGTAAAAGTATCAGTATATTTAACATTTTTTTTGAGAAGGAAATAATACAAAAATGCATATATCATATTTGGGTGTATCTGATAAACTATAAATGACTAACTAAACTCTCTTAAAAGTAATGGAGCTGCAACTGTGGCCATCAAAGTGACAACACTACATTGTCAAAATTCTAGACTGAACAGATATAGCCAAACTATCTATGTTTCAATATAAAAATTGAATGATAAATGCAATGGAAGAAGAGTGCAGCATACCCTAAACTTCGGCCTATTGTAAATTGATGAAAGTCGCTCTCTTGCTTCCCATTCCTAACAACATGAAAACAAGTTACGCCAATGAAAAGATTCAGCACAAATACCGGTTTTGCCTCAAGTGAATAATCATAGCCTTTTGATCTATCAGCCTAAACATAACGACAATTACCTAAAAAATTAGAGTTTGGTATTTGGTCTTTTTAATCAAGTGTGATTCTCACAATCCACAAAAGAAACAGCGGTATTTGCATAATATTAATTCTGCTTCATTTTACACAAAACCATTACTATTTAGAAATCAAACATTTTTTCTCAGACTATGATTTTTTCAAATGTTCTCTAAACATTTCTAATTACAAGATTGTCATTTAAAGTACTTGACCTCAAATTGCTAAAAGGAAGAGAATTAGAAACAAAACCTCGAAAATGGACTGCTCCAAAAAAGGGTCGGGATGGGGAATCCTGTCGTATGCTTCATTGAAAACAACTGACACCTTTTACCCAAAGCACATTCAGATTACAAAAAATGAGAATAATAAAAATGTAGAAAGCGAAGAGAGAAAACAGAGAATGAGCAAAGTAAGTACGTAAGTAACCTGTGAAGGAGATAGACCAGAAGGACATGAGAGCAACAAGAACGACGCAGTATAATCCCACAAGTGGGGTCTGGGAAGGGTAATATGTACGCACACCTTACCCCCACTTCGGAGGCTGTTTCCAGGAGACCCTCGGCTCAAAAAAAACAACTAGAGCCCAGAAGGACATGAGAGCAGCAGCTTGAATTCGTGAACACCGTCGCAGCTGCTTTTCTCCTCCATTTCTTCTACAGAGAGAGAGAGAGAGAGAGGATTTTTATCATGGGATTTAGTTAGTAAAATTACAAAGAGGAAAAGCTCCACTCCCCCTTCTTCTAATTTGATAATAATGGCAATTTCCCTACTGTAAAATTTGAGAGGGAGGGTCGTTGGCTATTTAATCAGGATTTTTTCCTTCATCTCTACTGTAAAAAACCTATAGGATTTTTCGTATTCTAATTTGCCATTTTTATATGAAAAGTTTCAAGATTTTTGTACATTAGTTTTGGACTTTGGTACAGATTCTTATCTAAAATACTTTTTATGTTGGATTTCTGCGGAATTAAGATACATGTGTTTTCATTATAGTGGCTAAAAAATGGTAAATGTCACGATTCAAAATCCACTACAGGTCGTAATGGCGCTCAACACTGCTGTCAGGTAATCCAATATTAATTTTATGTTGGATTTCTGCGGAATTAAGATGCATGTGTTTTCATTATAGTGGCTAAAAAATGGTAAATGTCATGATTCAAAATCCACTACAGATCGTAATGACGCTCAACACTGCTGTCAGGCAATCCAATATTAATTTATCAATTAGATTACCCATTTTATTACTTTTAAATTCCTAATTTCCAATAATTAAACAACATAAAATAGAATTTATAGGGTAAATAATGATAATTACGTGATCTATAATAACAAACAATCAGTAAGAACTCCTAGAACCCGGTGTCATTGTTAGTAAACTGTATTTAGAAAATAATTCTGGAAAATATAAACGAACATAAACAGAAATGAAAAACAGAAACAAAATTTTAATCCGAGCCTACTGAATTCACATTATTTCCTTAAGTAATTTAATCCCCTCCTAGTACCCAAGGTTGTGGATTATTTCCTCTCAGGATAGAATGAATTATACACTGGTGTAGTGGTCCTTCAAACCCCAGTGTTTCAGCGAACACAAAGTTCGGTAGCAAATCACACTTACTATTGCTTTATTTGATGTTAAAAGTATGCAGAAGAAGGAGGAGAAACTCAGAAAATCGTATGGAAATTCTGAGCAGAATAATCTTGTATTTATAGCCAAAGTTTGGGCTGAAATCTAAAGAGGTGCAACTCTTCAGAATGACTGTTTATGCAAAACGGTCACATCATAAATGCCATAACATAAATGGCTATTTACTCAACAATAAAGAGGGAAAATAAAGAGGAAAA